GCATTGACTTACCCAAACGGTGCCTGCACCAGCTGCAGCCGAGCGCAGCGGCTGCTCCCGTTTCGCTCTGCTCTTTCTGCAGTGGGGATGGGAAAGAGCTTCTCCATAACACTCCTGAGGGACTGGAAAGCAAGGGAAGACTGTGGGAAGTGTGGGCTGCTCGGTATCCCAGGCCAAAATTAAATCCTGGTCATTTCAGAATATTGTTAAAAATTACTCCAAATACCCTTTTCATAATGTATGGAGCGTACATATTCTAAGCATCTACAACATCTATTGGGGGCGGGTTTGCATGACACTGATTTATATGCGAGAAGTAAAAGGACATTTTGAAGCCACATTCTTTTCATTAAAAACATTTTTAGAGGGAGGGAAAAAGCAAACATCACAAGCACAACATATAAGCACCAGCAGAGTTTCTGTTTGTTTGTTTATCTGCTTAACAGCTCTGCTTAGGAATGGGCTTGTCAAAACTATTAGCATGCTGGTAGAATTTTGCTTGCAACACGAAATGGCTAAGCACTCCTGTTTCAGAAACTGATCTTCAGATTTTCATAGCTGGCTTTTGCTTTGGAAAAATCTGACTGCATTAAAAATAATAATAAAAATAATAAAAATAATAATAATAAAAATAATAATAAATTGCAAAGTGTTTGCTTGCAACAAAAGAACTGCAGAAGTCACAGATAGAAGAAACCCTCTGAACTCAGTCTCCTGGGATTAAAATTTATTCAAATCCAACTCCCAGGGCACTTCATAAACGTGGCAACCATTAAGGCCCCACCTAGACACCATCTCAGCACTGGCTAACGCTCTGGCGGGACAGCATTTTTCTTGCAGAAGGATACCCCTTTTTTAGTGCTCTCTGGAGCCGCGGCCCTCGGGGCACCCCGGGCTCCCCCATCTCCATGGCGCAGGGAGGTTCTTACAGCTTTGCTTCTCCCGGCAAATTGCTGGCAATTACCATCCGAGTATCCAAAAAACACCGCGAGACTGCAAAACGCAACCCATGCTAACTGAAAACAGCAGTTTCTTAAACTATTGCGAGATGCCAGATCTCAGAGGTTGGGGATCACAGGACAACTGTCCCCTGGCCAGAAAGTTAAGTACAGATATCATATATGCAGTGAAGATGACAGCAACCTAGATGCATCTTGTTAAGCGTAAGATGACCGTTGTCTCCAGAGCCCAGGGACCGAGGAGGCCGCAGAGGTTGCACTGCGTAGCAGCAACAGGTAGTGGAGGCTACACCATCCCAGGAACGAGAGCTTGCTGCTTAGCAGGTCTCGGGGTGGGGGCCACAACAAAACGTCAGCACTGTCAGCTAAGCCTGGCTCCCACACCCATGGAAAAGAGCCCACCAACACATTCCCTTCATCTAGAGACTGTCAGATGTTTAGCGACCAAAATTTCCAAGCTGCTTGCTCTTTCTTATGCGCCTTCCCCTCCTTCCTTTCCCTCTTTTCATGAACCTACTCACATTAAAGCACTTGTTTATCCTCCCAAGGAAGCAATGTAAGATTATTTTTAAGACCACTACTGCACCGTTCTATTTTTAAATGCCCTGTTGGGATAAGCAAGTCAATGGAGTTGAGCTTGCTGACCCCAAATCTTGTCCTGCTTCTTCTCATACAGATACAGAAAGTTCATTTACATATGGAGGGTTTTAAAATACAGCTTTTCTCATCAGCATAGCACCACTGCAGCATTTAACTGGATCTTCAACTGAACCCACTAATTCAGCATATTCCCAGTCATGTCTGATAGCAATATGCTGTTTATTTCTCATCCCAGTGGGCTTTCTGCATATTGAAAAGCAGAGGGGACAAGGGGAATCCTTGGTAGACTGCCAAGATCTGCAGAACATCATAAATTTCAAGCCTACCCACACTCTCCAAGTCATTTAATACACCTACTTCTTGCCTCTTTCTTCCTCTGCACGCATTATTACTGTAAAATTTTTGTTTGGGAAAGGTTCAAAGGCAAGTGGTGTTATGAGCTGGTTTTCGTGGTGCTTTTTTTTCCCCTATGATGCCTTAATGTTATCAAAGAACTATGCAAAAGAAATCCTATCAGCTCATTTACCTCTTCCCCCCTCTAATTATCCAAGATATGTATTCCACAGTAATGTAATTCTCCTACTAACACACTTTCCTGCCTGTGTATTAATGTGCCTTTTTGGGGGACTGTTCCTGGAAGCCTGCTCCCCAGTTAAATGGCATGGAGGTACAATATGGGGCAACATCACACATCAAGGAAGGAAGGCAGCATGTGTGGCTCATGACTTAACAAGCTTGGATTATCCTGTGCACTGTACACCACTAAGTCTCTTGAAAAGTTCTCCAACCTCCCTGTGCTGACAGTTGTGGAAAGAAAAGCAACTAAGTTGAAAAAAAAAAAAATCTACTAATTTATATTTCAGTTGCTAAAACGTACACAGAATCAGCAGGCTAGATTTAAACATGCTATCA